ACTTGGCGAAAAGCGAAATTCAATAAAAAATAATAATTCCGAATAAACAACTTTTAAAAAACGCACACTGAGACATTAAATAAATGAGTGAAGTTTCCTGGCATATCAATTAATGTTTCATCAAGCGCTTTTCAAAAGATGCTTCTTGGTAGAAGTTTCTTTGGGATCGAAGTTTCCAACGACAGAAGTCAAAAAGTATTTTTGATCTATAAAAACTAGATAAACCGAAGTAATTGTCCAAAATACAATTCACGCGCAAGACTTACGCCCGTATTCTAAAAGCTCACTCACACTCAATGACAATGAGTGGAGATTCAGTCTGAGCTTCTCTTGAAGTGTCAATGCTGTTTTTGAATAGCTGAAGGGTTATTGTCGTACCTTATAACTATATGTAACTATACTCACCCTCCAGTTATTCAAAAACAGCATTGACACTCAAGAGAAGCTCAGACTGAACCTCCACTCATTGAGTATGAGTGAGCTTTTAGAATACGGCCTACGGGCATTAAATGCCATAATTCTTTGCTGGAAATTTCAATCCACGTACATCATTTAACATTGTGAATTTAAAATCCCCTCTGAAACAGTTAGATATCACATTTTTATAAAAAAATTATTTTCAGTGTTGAGGAAAATATCTTCAGTTACTTAAGAGCATCCTCTTCGTTTTTAAAAAGTTGGCATTCTTAAGCCCAACATCACGGTAGCTACATTGTTAGAATCAACATTGTTTGGCCTGTTCCAACATTGTGTTTGGACATGGTCAGTTTGAAAATTATGTTTCATAATGTTGGCTGATGTTTGATCAGGCTTGACGTTATTCAAAATTTTCATCAAACATCATCCGACATTGCAGGACCAACAATTTTCAACAATCTTGAAATGGTTCCACGTTTTTATCGGAACTTTAGTAGATAAATGAGTTTCCTGATATTTCAATGCGGTTTCAGCGCTTGTTTTCGGAACTAAACATTCTTTTGTATTGCGTTTTAAGTTGCAGCAACAATTGGCTTGTTTACCTTAGCCTTTGACTTGGTACATTTCTTGCCTTTTCTCAAACTCACCAATAATTCATGAAAATATTAGCCTGTCACATCGCATTAGTTTGCTCACAAGATGACACTGAATACATGGCAGATTAAGTCCTAGATTAAAACGAATTTAAATTTACTCATCTTAAGTCATGGTTTATGAGTATGAATTAAAGCTCGATCGGACTTGTCATCTCGTCCAGTGCACCTTTTAGATTTGAAATGTTACATAATTCAACATTAAACATTGCCAGAAAATGTGAGTAAGACAATAGCCTACTTACCGACCGAAAGAGTGTTGTATCCATAACGATTCCTTAACAAGGCTTCTCATTGTACTTATACAAGTTTTCAGGACTTGTTGATCGTTCTTAAAAACATTTTTCAAAGTTAACAGATCTGCATAACACAATTACAACTTGCGAGGCAACCAAACCTTAATTAACTCAAAACGTTCTGAACAATTAAGAGCAGCAAAAACAATGCTTCGTTCACGACATACAGCGATCGGTGCTGGAATATCACCTACATCTAAACAAGTTAATATTTCACCACGATCTGCATTAATGAAATATAACATATGGTTAGTTGAGCTACAAACTAAGTTTTCGTTGTCAAAAAACGTCAACCGGATGAGATCATTATGTGGTCCGTTAATAGGAGTCTGAGCAAGAAATTTTATTGAGGCAACGTCAAATATAAATATTTTGTTTACTTCAGCACTCCACAATGCTAATCTATTTCCCTGGGCAGAAAATTTGGCAAATAAAATGCATCTCAGAGACGTATTCGTAAAAAAAACATCTTCCCAACCACCTACCTTCGTTCCATCCTTCCATAAGGAAATGTTACTGGACTCAATCTGCGCAAGAACATGATATTTACTGCTGCATGCATGTACTGACAAAACATCTTCATTAAAAATCGTTTTCGATTCTATTTTCTTAGTAAAAACATTAAAGAAAGTTACATCGGACTGGTAAACACAAGCTATTAATTGACCAGATACTGATAAGTATTGTTTAATTCCAGCCAGTTGATCAAAGCATGCAAGACGTTGTGTTAAATCACTATTCCAGAGCTCTGGAGTACGATTTTCACCATATAAAATTACACCGTCCCTCACAACTGGAATATCTAACTGATCTGAATGGAGACGTTTTTGATATTTCTTAATCCTATTTGAATCAAGTTCGCAAATAGTAAATCTCTGCTCCCATGTGTTATTTAAATAAACAAAATCGCCATTTGCAGATAAGTTGGAAAAGACACCTTTTGAGTTCGGCGTCCGTTCCTCTGTATCAACTAAACCCTCTAAGCTAAACACGTGCATGGTGTTTGATTCGCAAGAGTAGATCAGCACATTTTTATCCCCTATTAAAATGTACCTAAGAGCAGTGAATGAAGACCAACCAAACGTGTCATTCAGAATTTCTTTTACCTTTGAAAACCAAGACATCTCCGGACGCTGCAAGAAACATTTCAGTTCACGAGAATAGTAAAAGTTACTTGGCAGAACCACGTTCATTACATCACAAAGAGATACTTGAAGAAAGAGATCGAGATTTATAGTTGTTATAATATGCTGAAACGAACAAAACCAAGAATTTTCTTCAAAAGTGGAAACAATTTCTACTGGAAACTGGGAGAGAATTTTTATTGACTTAAAGACCGTGTAATCATTTGTTACATCGTAAACGTTGAAAACGTTTTCAATATCAATGGTGCCCAAAAAATTGCCACTGGCGGTGAAAGAAAAAGAGAAAAGTGTTTTACAAGGGATACATTTTCCCTTTGTGCCACTTAAAACGTTCCAAACAATTAAGTTGATACGATAGAATGTGACCATTCTGCTATTATCTGAGGAGAAACAACAATGTGTAAATTTAGAACTACCTTCATCACATTGAAATGGTCCAGTTGTAAATGTTCCTTTCAACGTTAACCCTTGGTCGAGTCTTCCAGGTAATATCAAGCTTTCACGAGGGTGAAAAACAATACAATGTGCCAACATAAAAGGACCACCAATATAA